AGAAAGCCTTTTCAGGAAGAATCAAACTTAAGGGGCGCCTGGGTGACTCAGTCGTTAAGCGTCTGCCTTCGGCTCAGGTCATGATCCCAGAGTCCTGGGATCGAGCCCCACATCGGGCTCCCTGCTTGGCAGGAAGCCTGCTTCTCCCTCTCCCGCTCCCCCCTGCTTGTGTTCCCTGTCTCGCTGTGTCTCTGTCAAATAAATAAATAAAATCTTAAAAAAAAAAATAAGAATCAAACTTGAATAGCTGGTATTTCAAAAACAAAACAAAACAAGCCACATTCTTCCCCTAGAAACCTTTTCTAGTTCCTGAGGGGTGGTGTCCTTCAATCTCCCCAGAATCTGGTGTGACCGCATTCTCAGGGACCAGAGGGCTCAAGAGTATTTCAGCAGTTAACGTCCTCACACGCGGGGAATTAGCTCACGTGGGTATTTTAGAACCACGATGCTTCAGTTAAAGAAGTTGTACTTTAAAAATAAACACACGCTATTCTTACCAGAACCGTAACACTAGGGTGGCTGCTGTCACACAACCATTTGAAACGAAAATGTGAAAGCTTTAGCACAGCAAAGGAGACCATGAGCAAAGCCGAAAGTCAACCTACTAAGTGGGAGAAGATATTTGCAAATCATATATCCCATAAGGGGTTAATATCCAAACTATATAAGGAACTCACACAACATAACATCAAATAAACCCGATAAAAAAATGGACTGAATAGACATTTTTTCCAAAGAAGACACATACATGGCCAAGAGGTGTACGAAAAGATGCTCCACTAAATCATGAGAGAAATGCAAATTAAAACTTCAAGGAACTACCACCTCATACCTGTCAGATTATCAAAAAGACAAGAAATAACACGTCTTGGCAAGGATGTGGAAAAAAGGGAACCCCCATAACACTGTTGGTGGGAATGGAAATTGGTAAAAATCCCTTAAAAAAATTAAAATTAGATCATTCAATACAGCAATTCCACTTCTGGGTATTTCCAAAGAAAACAAAACACTATTTCAAAGAGATATATGCACCCCTATGGTCACTGCAGCGTTATTTACAATAGCCAATATATGGAAGCAGCCCCAGGGTCCATCGAAAGATGAATAAAGAAGATGTGGTACATATATATATAGAAATATTACTCAGCCATAAAAAAAAAAAAAAAATGAAATCCCTCCATTTGCAACATGGATGAAACTAGAGGGTATTACGCTAAGTGAAATAAGCCGGAGAAACACAAGTAACATATGATTTCGCTTATATGTGGAATCTAAAAAACAAAACAAATGAACAAACAAAACAGAAACAGACTCACAGATACAAGAAACAAACTGTTATCATAGTAACCAGGATTTAGGAGTTGGGCCAAATTGGTGAAGGGGATTAAGAGGCAAAAACTTCCAGTTATAAAGTAAGTCATGGGATGTAATGAACAGCATGGGGAAAATAGTCAATAATACTGTAATAACTCCGTATGATGACAGATGGCAACTACAGTTATCATGGGGCTCATTTTGTAATGTAGAAAAATACTGAATCACTATCACATACACCTGAAACTAATAGGATACTGCATGCCAATTATACTTCCATAAAAAAAAAAAGACACTAAAACGTCACAATCTGAAGCTAGAGACAAGGAACCATTTTGACCCAGTTAGGGCTTCCTAGAGTCTGACCTTTATAGGGAGCTAGACTCTTCCAGGGCAAAACCGGAAGAGCGTGGGACGCAGAAATAGAGGGTCTGCCGCTGCTTTAAGGACAGGAGATCTGGAATGGCTGAGCCACTGTGTCTCCCTAGGACATGACTGCGAACTCTCTGCCATACCTTGAACTCGTGGCTGTCACTTTTGGAGGCTGATGAAGACATCACAGCATATCCAGTAAAAACTGGATCATCGGGATGATGGAGAATCTGGCAGATGAGACTCTTTAACTCAGGCAAGGATCCTGGGCCTCGTCTCGCTCCCTTCATACTGGTAAGAAACCAAGATCTGGACTGAGGCCTCCCTGCCATGTCCTATCTGGGCCTACAACACACATTGCCACAGACAGGTTCCTATGAGGGCCACTGCAGAGACTTGCAGATAACCTCAAGTAAGCTCAATCATGGGACTGAGGTAGAATCCTGAAGGCTGGCGGGAAGCCAAGGGATTCAAGATAGGATCAGGCCCACCTGGATAAATCTGAAGGAGAGAGTCTTTTCAACAAAGACTACCTTGTTTTAGGGCTGGGATGTGCAGAAAGAAAGTCTTATCCGTACTATCAGGGCTTACATGAGATTGCTCAAATGCTGTGTTTCTGATAAACAACTTATCCCACAATACGCCCCCTTCCCAGCTATTACAAGGTGTTCTGCTGGACCTGCAGATTAGCACCATTAAATTGTCCTTGATTTAATACTTTTGAGCTACATAGAACTCCTCTCCCCATTAGCTCCCATCTCCCCAACATTTGGTTTATAGTTCTATGACTTATTAATCCTTATTACAAGGATTTTTTTGGAACTGTCTCCCCTATTAGATACTGAGGAGTTCCTTTAGGGGAGCTACTGGTCACATTAGCCACTAGTCTCCATACTGCAGAGCTGATGATCGTGATGCTTGGTACATGACAGCCTATTAAATATTTGCTGAGTAAGATTCTAATATTGTCTCTTACCTGTAATTTTTTGAGAAAAACCATTCAAGACCTATAAACAGGAGATCAGTTAAGACTAAAACTTACATGTAGGTTTTCTTCTGCTTGCTTTCAAAAAATAGACATGGAAAATACAAATATGATTTTTAAAAATCACTGTTTTAGTTGGTAATTGAACAATACAAGAATAGCTACATTTGAAAGACAAAAAACACTAGGACCCCAGGAACTTAATGGGCAAAAGACATGAACAGACAATTCACTAAAATGAAAAATACATAACATGAAAAAACTTTCCAACCATACGAGACATTATTTACCAATTAAATTAGCAAAGTTTTAACCAAATGGTAATTCGGAAGTGACAGTGTGAAACACTCCAGTATTGGGGGTTATAAACATGGCTATATGAATAAGAAACCTTAAAAAGAGTTAGAGTCAAGGTATCTATGTAAAACTATGAGAGTGTACATATACATACATACACATAAATTACCTTTAGGCTTTCCTATATACTTCTCAAAATATATATTCTAAGGAATCAAAATGTTGATTGGACTTTATGTGGTATATATGACTTAGAAGTTGACATTACCACTTACTAGCTATGTGACCTTTGGCAAATTATTAATTTTCTGGGCTCAGTTTCCTCATCGGTAAAATGACTATTAAAGAACAAAACAAAACAAAACAAAACCCAAAAACACTACCTACCTTACACGGTGGGTGTAAAGATTATATGAGAGTATATATTCGAGTTTAGAACTGTGCCTAGTACAGAGTGCTCAATAAATGTTAAATCCTAGTATTTCACATATCAGAAATCAAAAACAGCCTAATGATTAATAATAAAAAATGATTAAAAAGATTATGGTAAATCCATACACTGGCATATTATAGTCACTAAAATGTTCATGAAGAGTTTTTATAATAATGTTGGAGAAATGCCTATATTAAGAGAACAGCATGATGTAAAATTGAATATATATATAGTATGTTTTCAAGTATGTAAAATATATATCAATATAGAGAAAATGATCTGGCAGAAAACAAACCAAAATATTAAAAATAATTATTGTGGGCACTCGAATTTAACCCGCTTGCTGTTGTTTTTCTTCTTTATACTTTTCTATCATGAATCGTTTTATACAATAAGGAGGGTATTACTTTTAAAATCAGAAAAACACCATAGTTTTATAAGATTAGTAAGGTAACAAACGGGTAATTTAAAAAACTTGAATTTATGCCCACCTCTTCACATGGAAATGAAGTCATACAGAAACTAATTGTGGCTTTCTCCAGCTCAGTTGTTCTCTGCTGAATTTACAAATACAGAGCACTGTACCAATGCCAAGTAAGTACTACAAGCAACAGAAAGCGGTAATAATCCCTTGGTTTGAATTTGTTTATACACAAGAACATGAAATTTAGCACAAACCATGCATTCCCTAAGACCGCCCGCACTGCACGTAGTAGGCCAGCCTCGTGCACCCCAGCCCCCACGTGCCAGCAGCCAGTAATTCTGGCCACCAAAATTCCCTTCTAACCCTCACCAGGCGGCAGGCCTTATGGGGGGGGGGGGGCCTCGAGCCCTTCCTCCTCTCACCCCACTCCCTGCCCTAGTGGCTTTTACCTTTTCTACCTATCAAACTACAAAGTTTTCATCCCTTGTGCAATTTTCAAAGGGAAGAACTCCTATCTGGTTTTAAGAAGGAGAAACAAGATAAAGGTATTTCCTTCACTCTGAAGACAGTTTCCAGTACGCTTCTCAATGCTTCATGCCCATCACCCGCGCCCCCCTTCCCAAACAGCTTCAGTGCCATTGTTCCTCAACTCTTGACCTTTCAGATTAGCTTACCTTCTGGTTAGACCAAAACTCTGTTTGTTTCAGCTAATCAATTTTTGCCTTTAAAGTACTCGTAATTATATAAATATCTGTGTATATAAGTATCATTCAAGACCTTAAAAGTTTTTAACAAAGAGAATAAACCACCACAACTTTCGAAGACTTCAGGAAACTGTTCAAATTCTTGATAAAAGTGTTTTTTTAGGATCACATCTCACATAAACTTCCTATCAATCAGCATTTTCATCGAAGCAGGACTGGGTCAGACATTATGTGTTTTAGCCATACTGCTGAAAACCCGTTCTAGCTAATATGTATCCATTGTTCATCCAAATGTCCATCCACACTGCATTAACCAGATCCTTCATGACTAAATTTTTAGAGGCAGTTTAGGCGAAAACTCCCAGATGTTAATGTACTTTGCCGCTCTGTGAGTCTTCACAGTAAAAGCTACCCTTAAATAACCTAGTGGTTTAACGAACCCCGAGCTTTACAAATTAATACAACACAATCTAAATGCACCATAAATTTATATTTGTTAATCTTGATATTAGAACATTTAAACATTTCAAACTACATAAAAATATGACAAACAATATAAAATGGAAAGAAATTTGTTGACAACTTCCAAAACATCACTATTTCTTATAGTGCAATTAAGCAACAAAACAGCTCACTTAGCTCTCCAGAAAACGTATAGTGTTTTTAGTGGAGTGTTATCAACAAAAGTCAACACAGTCCCACACAATAATGTCTCCAATTTATTATCTGTTCCACAGTACAAATTCTTCACAAACCATAACTTCTTTGCTGTTATTCAAAGTCTGTAAACAAGAGCCTGAATCCCCACGTCCCCGACCTCAGTTTAAGCTTGTGAATGTAAGTCCTTCAATCAAGTTTCAACTCTTCCACGTGCGTAAGCAATCAAGAGCCTTCTCTCCTTAAATTATTTATATTTTATCATACAGCCTGCAATGCAGTAAATCACAGTGAAAGCCCTGGGAAAAACAAAACAACATGATCTTTACAGCAGGACTTGAAACTTTATAATATTAAATGCATTTAAAGAAGCTTCCCATAATAAAAGCGTGGGTTTTCATTTCCAGAAATCAAGTCAATTAGAAACCCTAGGTTCTACTTAAAAACCCTTTTTGATCTAAAAGTGAAAACAGTCCCCTATCCATAGTCATTTTATAAACTCTATACAGTTTCACTTGCAGAGATTTTTTTTTTTCCAGTCTGGAAAACGGTAGTGCAATTAGTTTTACTTTAAGTCATTTAGTCCAGGATGTAAATTGCTCTGTGGAAAGATAAGAAGATGGTGTGGTAAACAAGAAATTTTTGCAAGCCCATGCTGGCTTACTAGTCCATTAAAGCTTGTAAGTCCATAGTGGCTTTCAACAAAATGTTGTATATACATCACTAATAACAAAGCAGAAATAAATAGGCAGAAATGACTGTAAACTGTCTCATCTCTTAATGATTTTTCAGTAATAACTGGCTTGACGAAATGATTAGTCATTTAAATAAGCAGACAGTAGACAGTTGTCCTTGGGACATTCCACTACGGCGCCCAGTCTGGGAAGCCCCACTGGAGTTACAGCCCTAAAATTAAAACAAAAAAGGGGGGGTGGAGGACAGGAGATAAAAGTTCAAAGATGCCACTTGAATAAATTCCATCATGTCAGCCAGTTCACTTAGATTTCTTCTTAAAAAGGCTTTTAATTTTTGATGGCTTTTTGCTTTTCTCTCCATTATGACAAAGATCGTGCGGGATGCTGCTTATCCTGGCAACATGTGGGGCTTCCTGAATGGGTTTACTGTCGTTGCTGGTGGAGGAACAGGACGTGTGGCGAGATTTAGGCACCGGGATGCCGCTAGAAAGCTGGTTCATGCTACAGGATTTCTCTAAGATGCCATTGTACACTTTGCTGGCAGGACTGAAGATCATACTCTTCGTTTCTGTCAGACCTACACAATCAGGAGAACCCCGAGAGATATCTGCAGTTATGGGTGAATCTCCTCGGGATGAATCCTCTAGAGAGAGCTCATCTCTTGATATTTTTCGAGGAGACAATGTTTGGTATATCTCAAGGCTTGAAGGAGGAGACTGTTTCCTTCCAATGGAAGAATTTAAGGAGTCACATTCGGAGGCCGTGTCTGGCACTTCCCTGGATGAGACAGAGACAAAGGTAAAATTTTAAATCAATATTTTCTAACACTACCAGCAAACATGCTCACTAATTTTAACTAAAACAACTTCTATTTTTTTAACCTATCAAAATGTAAAAGGGAGAAATACTAAAATTCTACACACATTCTGACAAAATTAGATTACTATTTTAAATAATATAACTTATCAAAACTCAATGTTTAATATTTAACATACACTATTAATAATGAAATCTTCCAATCTAAGAAACAAATCATGTTACATCTTTCTTCAATTGTCAGAGAAATGAAATGTTTAACGTTTACAGATTTTTTTTCATCTCAGCTACTTTGTTTTGTTTCAATACTGAGTAGTTTTCTTTCTAAATCACATAGTTGACATTACATATTTTTAAAAGATGAGCTTTAGTCACTGTCTCTCCCTTTATTTTTTAGTTATTAAATTGATGAAATTTAGCTTCCTCAGGAAGGAAGAAAGGAATATATTAAGCTCAAATGTAAGTTCTCCCAAGTTCAGAAACAGGAGAAGGAAGCTGAGATACAATTGGGTGTGGGGCGGGGGGGAGGCAAAAATCAGTGATGTCACGCTATTTTTTTAAGAAGCAGACAGTCAATAAATTCTCACAGGTTTATTCCTTTGTGATTTCCCCTTTTCTCCACAAGAAAGAGAGAAGAGATAAGGATAAGAAAAATAAAGCTCACAACCTCAAGGCCCACGAACAGTAGATGCTATCAGCCATTCCTGCAAACTATCCCTCAAATCCAACCCTTGTCACCCCCCACTGCTACCGTCCCTCTTGCTGAACTACCGCGATGTCACCTCAGTGATTGCAAGGGCTTCCTAACTGATCTCCCTGCTTCCCTTCTTGTTCCTCCCTCCAAGCTACTTCCCTACACAGATGCAATGGGGTTTTTAAAAACTTGGAGCATATCATTTCCTTGCTCAAAACTTTCCAATGCTTCCTCCCCTCATCAGGCTGAAATCCAAAGACCTTGCCGAAGTCCATGGAACCCAGTCGGATCAGGGCCACGGCTGTGGCTCCAGCCACAGGCCCCACCACTTTCCGCATCATTACACCACGGCCCCCTCTTTGCCCTCTTTGCCCCCCACCCCCACGCCAACCCTGTGACTCCCTCAGGGCTGTGCACTTACTCTTCCCTCTGCCTCCTACTGTCCTTCCCTCCATCTCTACAGGGCTTACTGCACGATCATTCAGGTCACTGCTCAACTGCTCTCTCTCCAGAGACGCTTCCCTTAGCACTCTGTCCGTAACAGTATTCTCTTTCTTTTTACCTGACTTTAGTTAGTATCCCAGAACATCCCACTACCTAAAACAATATTTTATATTAACTTCTTTTAGTCAGTTTCTCCAGAAGAAAGAAAACTTAATGAGGACAGGGAGTCTTACTAACTTCTGTATTCTCTGCACTGTGAATAGTGAGTGGTAAGTTCACGGTGGGTATTTAATAAATATGTGATGAATGAATGAATGAGTGAATGAACGGGAAGCAGACGAAAGAAAAGAAAAAGAGAAAAGATCTTGGATAATGTCTCACTTATTTTTGTATGTACCACACGGGATACAAATATTGTTCCCTCTACAAAAGAAATGATTAAGAAATAAAAAGTAGAGTCAAGATAAAAAGTAACTGGCAGAAGAAATAAGGTGGGAGAAGGAAGAGAGCTGAAGACAGAAGAGAAAGGCAAGGACACATATGATCATAATCCACCAGCTAGAACGAGGCCAGAACCTTGTCTCACTTGTCTTGGCAGCTCAAGTTATTAGCAAGTGCACAGAATACAGCGAGGAACTAAGTTCATATTTATAGAATAAACGAACTGAATGATCTCTCACCTTGGATGACCTGTGGTTACTATCATTATTCATGTAGTCATATTACTTCTGATATGTATTTCATGTTAATACCTCATTTTAGATCTATATCTTACTCAACGTATTTAATCATTCCTATGTACGTCACTCACACACGTATGTGCAGATTGTTTCTATTACACTATAAGCTCTCAGAAGGTACAAAATCCCCTGGGCAAATAAAGACTTAAATGATGATTTCATATGATACAGTTACATGTGCTGCATCATTTCTAAGTGCTTTTACAATATGATAACAGGGAGTGCTAACAGAGGACAAGAGGAAGTTCAGATAAGAAGAAATGACTCAGATATCAGTCACTGGTAGGGACTTTTCTGTTAGCTTCTTTTTGGAGTGGATATCCATTAATTACACAGCATATATCACTGTTCCCTGAAGCTGTTCAGCTTCCAGAGCCAGAAGCTGATTTAGTTAAAATTTTATAAATTTACTTTCTACTCTGCTATGCGGTTTGGCTGCTCAGTGTGTGAAATTCTAAGCTAGGTTAAAAATATTTCAAAAACTGGTCTCTAAAATCTAAATAATATGTGAAAAGAATAATGATCTAAGTCAGGAGAACTAGATCTTCCTGTCCTAGTCCTGCCATTAATCAGCCGCACAACCTTGGGCAAATCATTTAAATTAACCAGGTCTCAATTTCCCTGTCAAAGTAAGAGAATTTGATTAATCTCTAAAATTACTCCTCCTTTAACATCCTAATTCCAAAACAAATAATCTGTGAAGTGTTGCTTCTTCCACAGAACTAGTCAGATTGGAGTGTAGGTATAGTATAATCTCTGACTCTTAAATAAATATCCCATTTTTTTCCAGAACATATATTCTTTGGAATGTTAAAGTTAATTATGTGTACTATTTATGTTATTTTTCTATTTCTTTTTTTCTCACTGTGAGGTACAGGTGTATTCGTGTCAGTTTAATGCCTACGTAACAAGACTCAACTCAAGGTAAGATTTAAATGAGTGTATAATGTACATAAAGCATAGAACATAAAAGATCAGTAAATAGTAAATATTACTACTATTGCTATTTTGTAAGGATTCTAGTGGTTCATCATGTAAGAGACTAAAGAGGAGGAAAAGTTTTCTGAATCTAAATTCTCATATTTATGAGCTAGCTGTGAATTTCGGACACTCTTATTTGAAATGAAGACTAAACATTTCCACAAATGCAAAAATTCTATTGGACAGCAGAGCTCTTGAGTTTTCCTATTAACTTCCATAAGCCACACAAAATTAGTTCTGTCACTAAAGCTATCTTACAGGCGACTATAGTTATATTGCAAAGGTTATACAAAAAAGCTAATCAGAAAGTGCTGCCCAAGCAAAGCGGCATCCAATTCTCCAACTGGAACGAGGACACAAACCCTGGACTATCTCCTCGGGAATATGCTCTAATGATTTTGGCTATCTGTAAAATCTACTTTCACTAGTAGATAAAACAATTATGTATGAAAATTATTTGATGATGATGCCAACTAAAGAATCACACGATAGAGAAGAGCCACAAAATTTCACTGAGGGCATCAAGCCCCCTCCCTTTGGTTTTGTTTCTCATGGGAGGACAGGAAGACTTCAAGGCTGCACAGCTACGATGTGTAAGCAAAGTCAGAAACCGGCGTTGGTTTTCCTGTCACTCGAAACCCCACTGCTCCTAAAGAGGAATGTGGTTTGGAAGGAGAGATCCTTAGTTGCAATGGCTCTTACGGAACATGGTGGTCCTCAAGCTGGACTAGAACACGCTGCTGCTATACCCATCTTATACAAATTCCTACATTTTCTTACATCTTTGGCATTTGATATTTCCTGTTTGCTAGTAAGTACTAGCACATAACAGGAAAAAAAAATCACTAAGTGGCAACAAATATTGTAAAAACTCGGTCATATTTAATGTTTCTTTGTGTGTATTTAAGGTATGCTTTTGTATTTTACATATAAAACTATTCATAAGACAAATTTGTGTCCTGAGACTTGAGTCAGTTGCATGCAGTGGTCTCTAAACACTTATATGTCAAAATACCTCCACTGTGGTGGGCAGAATTCTAAGATGGTCCCCCAATTTCTAGCCTTGGTGTACACACATATATTCTCCCAGTTATTCCATCAAATACTAATAGAGATGCTGCTCTGAAGGCAGTCTGCAGATGTACTTAGGGCCCCAAACTAGTCTGTCTTAATATACAGAGATTATTATCCAAGTGAGCCTTTTAAGTTAGGTCCAGAGATTAGAGACGGGGCAAGTCAGAGATTCCAAGCAAAGACGGGACTTGACAGAAGGGACAGTTTCTGCTGTGGGCTTTGAAGATGGAGGCCCGGACAGCAAGGAATATTGTGCAGCCGCTAGGAACTGGGAGGGGCCCCCGGCTGACAGCCGGTGTGGAAACCGCGACCTCAGTGCTATAACCACAGGAGCTGAATTCTCTCGCAGCCAAATGGGCCTTGAAGTGGCCCTCAAGCTCCAGAGAAGAACAAAGCCTGGCAAACACCGCGATGTTAGCCTTGGGAGACCCTGTGCAGAACACCCGGCCACACCACACCTGGACTTTGGCACAGAGAACCGAGAGCTAACGAAGGCATGTCGCTTGAACCCATGCAGTTTGTGGCAACTCGTTGTGCAGCGAACGAAACCGAATCCAGCGGGTCGCCCCTCCCCACCCACGCCCACCTCCCGCCCAGCCAGCCCCGCAGGTACTGCAGTTGGTTCGCTGCCAATACCACTGTTTTTCAGCAGAGAAGTAAATGGCCTCTTCCTCCTCCTCGTTTCGATAAAGGACAGGACAACTTGACACGGAGAGGATATCGGGGTCAGGGGAAGGCAAGGAGTGCTGCGGGTGCTGCGGGTGCTGCGGGTGCTGCGGGTGCCGGGCGTGGGCCTGGAGCGGCGTGTGAGGAGGGAGCCGGGCACGCGGACACTGCGGCGAGGCCGGCGCGATGCTTCGGCGGGAGCGGCACAGGCTGCTGGTTCGGGCGAGCGGCCCCGCGGGCTTGGCCACGGCCCCTGGAACCAAGCAGAAACACACACGTGCTCGTGAGACCAGCGCTGCTCCTAGGCACCCAGGGACACACGCCAGGGACCTGCCGCTACGGACACGGCACCGTCCTCCAGCCCCTGGACTGCTTCCCAGGAAAGAGAACAAATACAGAATCAAGATGGAATAAAAATGAAAACAGGTCTAGAAAATAAACAGGAGAGAACATAAGCCCAGGAGGCTCTAACATCACATCTGACATTACTAACCACAAAGCCTTGAAAATTTGCCCAAGATGATAAATCCTTACATTTAAAAACCAATATAGCAGAGTTTTAAGGAACTGTAGCAAAACTTTTTGTGAATTTTGCCATTAAAAGAAGAAAACTATCACTAAAAAAAAATACGCTGAATTTTTCAACAGATGTCTCTTGAGACAATGTGACTTGTCTGAACTTGGAAGTTTTATTTTTTTCATGTTTCAAGTTTCAATTTAAATTCTAGTTAGTTAACATATAGTGTAATATTGGTTTCAGGAGTAGAATTTAGTGATTCATCACTGACAGACAACACCCAGTGCTCGTCACAAGTGCGCTCCTTCATACCCATCACCCACCTAGCCCATCCCTCCCCCCCACCTCCCTCCATCAGCCCTCGGTTTGTTCTCTATCATTAAGGGTCTCTTCTGGTTTGCCTGCCTCTAAGAAATTTTAAATCAAGTCATTGAAATAGTGTCTCCCAGCCGGTTAGGCAACGACCAGACCAAAACCTATTTCCTGAACACTGATTACTATGGAACTAACCAGAAGTCTTAGATCATCTTGTTTCTGCTACCAGTCTCAGTCTAGACCCATGCCGGTAGAAAACTTCGGCTGCCGCACCAGAACATCACGCTGGTGGCCTTCTCACACCCCAACACTCTGTAAACCCTCATTCCTACACCCTTCTATACAAATGTGTTCCTTCTGAAGCTCACACCATTAAGCAATGTGGGTCTACCATCTCTACTCCACTCATCACTTCCCAGTCATTCCCTTACCAATTGACCCAACCTATCATCAAACTTGAGCAATCTCATTTATAAATAAGACCTCCAACATCTTAACCAATCATGGTTCCCCCTCTTCTCAAGACATCTATGCCACCACTCACTCTCCAACTTTGTCTTGCTGTCATTCAGCATTGCTCCATTTTTGATATTACAAATCAAGACAGAAAACTGAGATTCTGACCACGTTTCTACCTTTCTAGTTCACACATTCTGCTCCTTCCACTTGTCTGTCCTATTCTCTACCCAAGTTCAAGCACCTAACTCTACTGATTAGCCCTTCTGTTGCCTTTATATTCAACTTCTACTTCCCAACAGCATTTAAAAATCAATGTTGCAACAATAAACCTAAAAAACCGATAAACAACAGCAGCAACAAAAAACCCTCCTCTGTCTTCAGATTGTTTTTCAACTGACATAACCTCTCTTCCCTTTTATGAAGAATTTTGTCTGTTACTTTCTCCACTACTTCACCTTAACTCATTCATCAAAGAAAGTGTAAAGTGCTCACATACAATTTCGCTGCAACTGTTCTCAACAAAGTCACAATCTACTTCCTTGTTGCTAAATTCAACAGATAGCTCAATCCTTCCCTGACTTTGGCCAGCACCTGACATTGATTATTACTTTGTCCATCCCTTGACTTCTTTAAGCACATTCACACACTGTGCTTTTATACAACAGAATAAAGAAAAATAATATAAGTGATCTCCTCAAACTAGGCAGGAAAGATTTGGTAAAACTTAATAGCCACTGATTTAAAAGAAAAATCATTCTTAGCAAAATAGGAATAAAATTAATTTCCTTAACTTAAAAGCAATCTACCAAAAACACAGAGCAAAAAACAAATAAATAAATAAAAATCACATTTCACGATGAAATATTGGGAGATTTCTCTTTAAAGTCAGAAATGGCAACCATTATTGCCTGCAATCACCACTTTTACTCAACATTTTACTGAAGGTCTTAGACTGGAAAAAAAGGGGGGGGGGGAGAAGGCATTAGGACTGAAAAGGAAAAAACAACTTATTATTATTGCACACACAAAAAAATCCAAAAGACTCCTGAGAGAATTCAGTATTTCTGTATGTGAGATCAGTTTAGCAGAGTCAACAGCAGTTCCCTTTACATCGGCAACAAGCAATTTGAAGTATAATTTTTTTAAGAGAGGTAATGTGTAACTACAAAAAAAAACAAAAACAAAAACCTACAGGGTATCCAGAAATTAATCTTTTTTAAAAAGATGTGCAAGAACAGTACAGAGAAAATTTAAAATTTTAAAGACATAAAAGCAGATCCTAATGAATGAAACATGAATAACAACTTTTCCCAAATATATCAATAAATTCAAAGAAATTCCAATAAAAGCTCAATGGAACGTCTCATGGAATTTCATAAGCTAATCCTAAAATTCATATTGGCCAAGAACAGCAATTCTGAATTTGAGTAATAAGGGAAGGTTTAGACCTATCAAACCTCAACACTTACTATAAAACTATAAATAGCAACTAAAGCAGAATGGAACCAGTGGAACAGAACAGAGAGCCTGGGCACACGTGTGCACCAATAGAGAGACGTGGGGTTACAAACCAGCAGGGGCAGAGCAGGAGTGAGACTGGGCAACTGTTTGTCCATACATCAGGAGATATATTTAGATTCCTATCTCACAGTATGAACGAAAATAACTTCCAGGTAGATTAAAAGACTAAGGGATTAAAGCAAATCTAAAACACTTTTAGGAGAGCAAACAACAATCTATCATCTTCTGAAAAAGACATAAAAAGCACAAATCAGTTTCATAAATTTGTCATTAGAAACATTTTTTTAAAAACCCAGATGATTAAAGAAGAAAGTAACACAGCAGAGTAAAAAAGAAAAGCCAAGGCCTGAAAGCTATCTGCATCAAATAACCAGAAAATATTAAAACCAACTCTCCCAGATCAGTAAGGAATCTTGGGAGAGATTCCATAGTAGGAATGAGCAACTCAGAGAGGAAGAAATCTGAATGACAAACACCAAAAAATGAACTGGAACATCTCAGTAGTCATCAAGGAAATAAAAATTTTAATCACCCTATGGTATCACATCACACCCATTCAAGTTACAAAACAAATAAATCAGATCATTTCAAGTATTGGTGAGGATATGGGCAGACAAGCACGCTTATAAACGGTGGGTATATAAATGAACAATCATTTGGAGAGCAACCTGGCAGTGACTAGGAACAGCCCTCCCAAGGACTAAAAGTGATCCATTTCCTAGGTGTCTACTCAGAGAAACACTCAAAGTTATGCACAAAGAGATAAAGGTAAGGCAAGGATGCTCACTGCAGTATTGTCTGTAAAGGCAGGAAAGTACAAAGAGCCTATCTCAGTAGAAAAATGGATTAATAAACAGTGGTTTATGATTATAATGAGTAAATAGATACACTGTGGTTAGCTCATATTAAACACAGTGAATTTAATGACGCTGTATATGAACATGGAAAATTTCTATAACATATTTGTGAGCAAAAAGAGTTGCAAAACATTGCCTAGAGTTTGATAACATTTATGTAAATTTTTAAATAACGATTATATCTATTGTTTATAGATATATCTGCAAGTAATAAAAGTACAACAGGCTTTAGAACGATACACAACTTCAGAAGAGTAAGAAGGCGAGGCCACGTGGTTTAGCTATATGTATAATAATTTATTTCAGAAAAAGTGATGAATAGATCAAAATGTTAAAATCCGTTTATCTTTGTAGTAGGTGAGCATTTAATTTTCAGCACTTTTAAGTACATATGAGCACTTTATAATAAGAAATTTTAAATAAACTGCTACCACATTCTCACTATGAATATTTAGCAGATACTACAAAAGTAACAGGAAAAAACTATCATCTCTTCTCCTACCCACAATGAGCTAAACTTTGATAATATTTTCCCTATCTTTTTCTTCACACATAATTAAACACAGATAATATTATTCCTTGTATAGTTTTACAATCTTTTACTTGGGTCTTAACATACCACAGGCATGTTTCCTCGCCACTATTTCACACTTACAAAATTTACACATACTCACGGTACAAATTTAAAACTTCTCAGAGGGTACATAATAAAGAGGCCTTCATCCTACTCTAGACTTTAGTCTGGCTGCCAGGAGTTCCTCATTTATCAGCTCTAGAAATTATGCTTTCGTAGCGAAGCCGAGTGGAGTATCACGGCTGTGCCACTGGGTGGAGGTGGAGCTCTCAAAGTGTAATCTTTGGCAAGAGTTTTTTTCAAAGATAATAAATTTGGTCACAGAACTACTAAATCATCATACTAAATTAAAATCAACTCATACTTTTTTCATATTTCAAATTTCTCTGTATATCACAATCACTAAAAACTTAAGATAATTATTCACATATATTTTGTCCCATCAAAAAGAACTTTTAAAAAAGGAAAAGAACTAGTTAACTTAGGGAATATATCTTCATGCATACGGACACTGAAAAATTATGGATTCTAAGGAGGAACTATGACTTTAAAAAGCTACAGTTTTCAAACAAAATCATATATTTATGAATCAGTGTTGCATTTGGCAAGCTTAAGAGCATACATTTCAAATAAACATAAGCTGACAATATTCAAAGAGCAGAGCTGGCCTAGATCTAGGTATAACTTTGCACCGTAACTACCTTGCAGCATAGGACAAGTGAGATGAGCAAGGATACACATTCCAGGATTCAATGCATTTATTATCTGTCCTGTCTTCTCTACTGTGTTAAGAGTTTAGTGCCTCCCCAACTGACTTGCCTTATCTCTCTGCCATTAAACCAGAGAGTTACAGCCACAGAAATAAACAAACGCATAGTCATTTACCATTTATTTGCAAATTTAGGGCTTTATTTCATAAAACTGTTCTAAAAATTAGAACCCTTTGTAAATCATAACATCAGGAAAAATGTAACATCAGGAAAAATGTAATGTAATGTAAAATGTAATCAGGATAAAAAAATTCAAACTGGAAAATGTTTATATATCATGACCGATTTGTCTTAAAACTGAAATTTCTATCTAAGTTTTCAACCAATCAATTATTACATTCTGCTTTCCATTCTTTGGAATCTTGTTCTATCTACAGTTTCAAAAAGGTCACAAAGATTGGGAAAGCGAATCAGCCAGGCAATAACAAGGATGAAAAGTTTTTCAAATGATTTCTAACTTTGAAAAAGTCCACATACTTATTAATAAATTCTAAAACCAGTTAACAAAATCTAAAATATTTAAATTTTACCTTCCTACCAAAACATATTCTTTACAATGTAAGACTTCAAGGAATTTTTATGTTTAATTTTTACATATTGTTTTTACATATTTTACATGTATGCTTATTTTATGTTTTATGTTTATAGCATAAACAAGGCAACATAAGAAAATTGTACATTTTAAAACCACCTTTGGGAGGAGCTCTACTTTCTAGCAACAACAACAAAAGGTTTTTCTAAACACAAGCACAGTTTAATTCTGTTTAAAAGTAAACTGAGCCAGTGCTTCATGAGTTAAAACACAGCAGGATAAACTCTAAGGATAGAGAACTGGAAAAGCAAAACAAAAACCCCATGCCCATTGGGAATGGTAACTGAACTTCAAATAAATCACAGACTGGCTCATAGTCACATAGTTGGTTAGTCAGTGGCACCAAGATCTTCCCCTAATTTTTACTCTCTACTATAGATTAAGCTGCCATTTAAAAGGATATTTACCCTCAAAGCTCGGCACTTCATTCATACAATATCTAGCATGTATGATGCGTTACTCTATGTGTATGTATACAGACACGCACCTGATATATTCTTCTCACATAGTAAAGACAAATTATTAACCACAAATGGAAAAAAGAGAATATAACGAATGAACAAAGTTTTTATTATAGGTTTCAAAGTCAATGATTAATAAAAGGCATGTAGAAAGTTACTTTAAAAACTGTACCAACTCTCTTTTTTGAACTCACCACTTACCAGGAAACTGTGACACTATTGGGGGTGTGTCTTCATCTAAATCATCAACTCCTCCAGCAATTGGATAGGGGGGAATGGAGACTCTGGGCATCACCACCCAGCTGTGATCAGAATACAGGGAAGAGGTCAAGCTGGGGAGTCCCGAGTTATGGGCTATCTGAAAGCCACAGATCTTCTCAATCTGTTGCCAGCGAAAAAGTCGTTCTCGTAAACAAGTTGTCAACTCAGAGAGCGCTTTCCTGGAAAAGCCAATGTAGGAATTACTTGTTGCATCAAAGAATCTTTAATATGGCACTAAAACAGGGCAGCTACATGAACAGACCGTGGCAATTACCCATTCTTAAAATTCGTATAGGTTATGTAATTACACATGCTTAAATGACAAATTAAGATATAAACTGCTTATAAATTACACATTTCAATACAATACAGATAAACTGATAGCTAAAATAACATTCTTACTTTGCTTCCAGAATTTTGTGATCTACCTCATCTAGGGAGGAGCTATGCGCAACATGCAGAGTCCCAAAGACCGTGCTTCTTTTCTTTTTAATTTTCTCTGCCTAGAAACCCAAGGAGAGAAAAAATAAGGGTAGGTTTGAAAAAAAAACACACACATACTAATGAAGTTTGTTTTGAATATATTAATAATCATGAAATCAATGGAGAATTATATTAGCCAAAATAAAGCCCTAATTTCCAAAAAAGAAAACAGATGAGGGAGAAAGCATGCTTTCCTAAACCAATCAATACAATTCAAAACTTTGTTCTGGAGAATTTTTCTCTTATTTTGATGGTTCAGAAAGACCTAATCTTCTATTAAAACTAACAAAATAACATTAATCATATCTTACTGCAATGAGGTGTTAGTGAGTGAACTGAGCTTTTTTTTTTGCTAGAAATCAGATTAAAACTTAATCTCATTTCACACAATTTAATAAGAGTCAGACATTAATTTCTAGTAACTACTAACCTGAATCAGGTATGAAGCAGCAACCTAAAGGAGAAAAGCTCTGTATAAAACATTTATGACAATGATAATAGGGATGATTTTTAAATGACACTAAGGTCATTCTGAAAGGTATACACTTCTCTAAATAAGGTAATTTTACTCTACAGCCTAGGACTACAAGAGTCAATTTATGTAGTAAGTTCCAATTCACAAAAAGAAGCTAGAATAATACAATTTTTATTCAGACCTTTGTATCCCAATTGGTTAATCTCTTTAGAAATTTATTAGGTTTTGAAATATAATAGAGTACCTCATCCTTAGCAATAGCTAATTGCATTTCAGCATTTTGTCTTTTAATATTGTAGTACTGTACTTCTACTTCATGTGTTAACTGAAGCCATTTTTGAAGTGCATCTGGAACAGACCAGCTGCTTCGGAGTTCAAATTCTTTTTCAGCCTTTTTTAGAGCCATTCGAACCTGGAAGGGAGGGAGAAGGAAAAGAGGAGTGGGGAGAGGGAACAGAAGGGATGAAGAGAAGGTTGGGGGGAAGATGGAGATGGGAGACAGAAAGAGAGAGAAATTTGTTTTTTTAAAAAAGATATTTAAATTAAGATACATCTTAAGAAATTAAGATTTCACCAAAATTAAGAGAAAAAGCAATTTTAATTATGTTCCTTGTATTTTAAAATCACAAAGTATAAAAATATACTTCTAACATTAAAACTAGAGCTGAAGCTTTCAAGTGCATCTTAACCCACAAAGCAAAGCTGTAAAGCCCAAAGGGTAGAAGGGGCTTACATATATCTTAAGTTGCATTATTTAGTTTTTAACAGCCAGACTCGATGGACAGAAGAAAATTCCAGACACATACAAACTAAAACGGATTACATTCTTCTCATAATGTATTTTTTTGTTCATGGAGTAGAATATAAAGAAGTATCCAAAATATCGTGAATATCTGCCCTACTACCCCTTCTACTATTCCCAGGAGACATTACTGTAAGCCATTTAACTATACATTCACTTTTTAGAGTAATGATAGTGTTTTTTGAAGTTTTTTATGACATCTTCTTTATGGTTAGTTATTTCTCACTGTTATAAGCACATCTGTCTGTTACAGTCTGTTTCACCCACTCTACTTAATTCACTGCTTCTAACATACCAGAAAGTAGATAAATCAGCATTTGCAGACCATGTGTAAATTTCAAGAAAATAGATTCTGAGTGAGACTCTACTTGATTTTTCCATGAGAAACTATGCATAGGCTTCAGTGTCAGGATGTCAAAGTCTTCCTTCGAGCTGCCCTTTAGGGGAGCCAGACAATAAATAGTTAGAAAACTAAAATGCTTAGTGCATCAGCTGGTATTAAATGCTAAGGAAAAAACTCTTAAAGAAAGCCTAAGAAAAGAACACAGAAAGAAGAGACAATCCATTCTAGATAAGATTCACTTAAAAACTAGCAAGAGGTCAAGCTAAAGATGTGTAAAGATACGTGATGGAATATAAGGAATTATGAACACACACTCAAGACCTCCAGACAAAGTCACGAAGGCACTGTGGAGCCTCCTGCTTCTGGAGCACCATACCTGCAAATTATTTTCCTCCAAGCTAAGTAAAGTAACTAAAAACTCCACTCTTAAACTCACGTGCAGAAGAATGTTTGATCTGAACAAACACAACTTATTTAAATAAACTGTATTGTGTGCCAGAATAAACTAATAAGAGTACTATACACAAGTTTCTTCTGATAAGAAATAGAACAGTTGTCAGATACTGTAGAAAGAAAATTATGTTTGAGAAGTATTTTTTTAAAACTCCAAAATTAAAAGAAAAAAAAAAATCACAACGGGACACTAAGTACAGACATTAAAAGTAAGGGTAAGATCGCTGACTTACTTACTTACTCACTTACTTACGTACTCACTAAAAACAAATCCTAAGCAACATGTGCCTGACACATTAAACTGTGCAAAGCGCTTGGGACAGTACTGTGTTTAATAAAATGGCTGGCTAAGCTGTGTGGCGCCCCTGCTAATCTTTCAGGAAGAGAGAATCTGAGGTCAGGTCCTATGACATGGAGTTCCATACAACACTATAAAGTATAGCTCAGCAGGCCCTCTTTCTCACAAGATCTTAAAGCTAAAATTTCTATACAATTTTCATTGTCAAGGAACTTAACCGAGAATCTATTTCAAATTTCACTCAAGTTTTTCTCTTTAATCATAAAGATTTTCCTTATTATGTAGATATATTTATTTCCCCTAAAAGAACTCAATGAACACATTTAACACAGAACTGGTGGGGCGCCTGGGTGGCTCAGTTGTTAAGCGTCTGCCTTCAGCTCAGGTCATGATCCCAGGGTCCTGGGATCGAGCCCCACATCGGGCTCCCCGCTCTGCGGGAAGCCTGCCTCTCCCTCTCCCACTCCCCCTGCTTGTGTTCCCTCTCTCGCTGTATCTCTCTCTGTCAAATAAATAAAATCTTTAACACAGAACTGGTATACTTCTACCATTAACTGAGGCTGAACACTGTTTTCATTGACTGTCAAATAATGTTTCAAAATTTTGGAAATTGTGACTTTCCAATAACAGCAACTATTTTAACTATTTTCTCTGCTATTATTCATAAGTTTATCATCTGACCTAAATTCTAATCCTTAGTTCGAATTACACTGTTATTTACAGAGGAATGGATGCAGAAAAAAATGAGTAATTAAAAGCTTTTGCAAATGATGAATTATTAAACTGTTTACAAATATAATTATTTACACAATATTTGTGTCTCAGGAATAAAGCAGCAATAAGTAAAAACATGGTATACAAAAAAACACCCTAAATATCTGAAAACATGGCTCTAGACCCAACTTTATGATTATTACCCTTGTGACCTTCACCACTTCTTCACTTTCTGAGCTGAGGTTTATTGTCTCACGTAGAACAGACATATACTATGACTTGTCCTGACTTTGGTCTTCCTGAAACTTTAAGAACAAAATAATTTATGTGAAAAGTATTTAAACCATACAAAATATGAAGCAGTACTATTATTCACCCCAAAGTTTTTGTCTTAGGGAAAAATAGCACCACTATATATGTGCCAGATACTCCTGACTTATAATTCTGAGAAGCTGATTACCTCTCAGACAAGCTATAGTAATACTTCAAACTACGTGGAACTGTAGATTATATGACATTATACATAAATTAGCTTCCCAGTGAAATTTACTTCTAGAAACAAAACTTTTAATAGCAGTATGGGAAAACATGGACTTTGGAATAAGACACACAAAACCTTGCCTTTGCCATGGAAGAGCTGTGTGAATTCAGGCAACTTATTTAACCTCTCTGCACATCTCATCTATAATGAGGATAATATCTATTTATCGTGAGGATTAAAATTTATGAGCAAACTACCCATAATGTGCATAGCATAAACTTCTGGCACACAGTACGCAATCATTAAAACTGTGTTTCTTATTACTATAAACATGTTGGACAGAGTTCTTTTTAAACACCCACTTAACTCCTTTAAACCACCCCTTACTGACTCAGGATCTCATTAGGATTATTACATCTGTACTGGGACATATCGTGGTGATCCTAAGGTCTACTGTGGTGTGCAATGCCTTTCTGCCAAAAATTTCAAATTAGAATGTTTGTGATTTGGGAATCCTTTTTGTAGGGTGTCTTCTCCCTCACTGTGACGAGGTCACCTGTAAAATTCTGCTATCAGTTTATGTCTCTGTAGACAAATTACCACTATTGCTTTCTGATTTGTTCTTTCTAACCTATAAAGTGCAGAAAAATAGCTACAAGCTGTTTAGTTTAGTACTGGGAACAAACCCAAGAGTCAGAAGTCTTGGTGGGAAAAGGCAGTGAGTTCTCACAGGAATAAAGGCATAATATCTAATTCTTGGACACACTATAATTTTGGCTAAGCCTTTTTCTTTCTTTCTCTTTCTTTCTTTCTTTCTTTCTTTCTTTCTTTCTTTCTTTCTTTCTTTCTTCTTTCTTTCTTTCTTCCTTCCTTCCTTCTTTCTCTCTCTCTCTCTCTTTCTCTCTCTCTCTCTCTCTTTCTCTCTCTCTCTCTTTCTTTCTCTCTTTCTCTCTCTCTCTCTTTCTTTCTTTTTTTTTTTCCCTGTTAACTCCCTGGTTCCTTACTACATTCTGTACAGATAAGGTTTGTCAGGTAAATAGGACCTGACCATAAAATACATGTAGGAGTTAACATAAGAGAACAAACTCCTTACAGGGAAAAGATCCAACAAACAGATGCCAGGGGTATCAGGGAAACAACAGCTAGCCATGAACAGAAGAGATGGCTGCGTTCAGGCAGACAAATCCTACCAAAAACGACCATCCTGAAGGAAACAGTAACGCACAATGAACATTTCCTCATGAGCTGAAACTGAAATGCATTCCTCACATAATTCTTACTCCTTATTTAGCACCTGGCTGAGAAGGCAGCAGGTGCGCAAAGCAAAGTGGCAGACAGAACACCACGGTTCTTGGCCCTGCTTTACAACTGAGGCACTCTGATCTTGGGCAAGCCTTCTTGCTCACAGTTTCTTTATCAGAAAAGAAAGGGTAGAAGTAAGAAGAAGGAGACGAGACCACAGAAACAGAGGTTGGAGTGACGTGTTTTGAAGATGAAGGAAGGGGCCACGAGCCAAGAAATGCAGGCAGCCTCTGGAAGCTGAAAAAGGCAAGGAAACAGATCCTCCCCAGAGCCTCCAGAGGAATGCAGCCCTGTGAACCTATTTTAAACTCTGCCTTAAGAACTGTAAGATAATAAATGTGTGTTGTTTTAAGCTACGAAGTTAGTGGTAATTTTTTATAGCAAGAATAGAAAACCAAAAGATCTGCCTACAATTAAATTCTGACCCCCCCTTCTTGAAGGACTGTGCTATGCCTGAAGGCTTTTATTCCATCTTGAGTAACCACATGGTAGCAGGAGATACTGGAAAGGCATCTGTAGACAACTTCAGAATTTTTAGCAGATTATGTTCTAAAGCCATTTAACAGGATTCAAATGTATAATAGAGATTCTTTACCTTTGCAGAGAGGTTTAACATTAGATATACTTTACTAGGTTATAGCTGCAAACTGAAACATATCACAGATGTTAAACACCTTAAATTCACTGGAGATAATTAACATGGCATGGGATAAGATTTCATGAGTGAGTGAACATGATGGTAACTTTATTTTTAAATTATTACTTTGTCATTTTGCTATATGGGCTTTGATCAATGCTAATAATATGAACAAATAATTCTTTTATTAACTAAGGAGTAATATACAATGCCACTAAATGTAGAAGACTATAAACAAAAACAAAACAACCCCCCAGTGATGAACCATGAGAGACGATGGACTCTAAGAAACAAACTGAGGGTTCTAGAGGGGAGCGGGGGGGTGGAGGGGGGCGGGGCATGGGTTAGCCCGGTGATGGGTATAAGGAGGGCACATACTGCATGGAGCACTGGGTGTTATATGAAAACAGTGGATTGTGGATCACCACATCAAAAACCAATGTTGTATTGTATGGTGATTAACATAACATAATAAAATAAAAAAGAAAGAAAGAAAGAAAGAACACTCAAAAAAAACAACTCCTCAGAGTGGTGCTACCATTGCCCTAACAAATACTTTTCATGGGATGTAAATACCTGCTCCAATTCCTGCTCTGCATATTGCCGTCTACTCAGCTCACATTCGGCTCCTTCCCTTAGCTCTCTCAGCCGACAGGCCTCTTCCTTTGCATAATTGATTTCATCCATCATTTTGCGCTCTAGATTTTGCTTTTCTACAGCAACATTTCTATTTTCTTCCTGTGCCTTTTCAAGCCTTACAGAAGGATAAAAATGAAAATTCCTCACCAAAATTTCCAAAGTTTCATTTTTTCACGAATAAATACGTATCAAGCAGCAGAATACATGTTCCCACCCAAAATCAGAGTATTTTCTATTAATCTTACATGTGAATACCAAAACTAGCAGGCAGCCCACTATACATCTATATGGGTAATCCTGAGCTGAAAATACAGTTAGCAGGGAATCACTCTTCAGCAAACAGACTCTTAAGTAATTCTTTATTATCTAAATCATGTTAAAAATAAAACTTAGGGCGCCTGGGTGGCTCAGTTGGTTAAGCGACTGCCTTCGGCTCAGGTCATGATCCTGGAGTCCCGGGATCGAGTCCCGCATCGGGCTCCCTGCTCGGCGGGGAGTCTGCTTCTCCCTCTGATCCTCCCCCTCTCATGCTTTCTGTCTCCCATTCTCTCTCAGATAAATAAATAAAATCTTTAAAAAAAAAAAAATAAAAATAAAAAATAAATAAAACTTAACTACACATATCATTCCACCTATATCTGATTTATTTCCACTGATCTGCTTATTCCCTAGTGCATACCTTTAATATAAATCTGTAATTAGGACAATATAACTTTTCTAACTATATGAAATGAAGTGTACAGACATTACTGATGTGTGTAACAAACTAAGTAAAAGTGTGTAAGCCCAGGCCCGTATTACATTTTCACAAACCGTATTTGACTATATAAATAATAAGACTTGTAGCTTTTTAAACTTATTCACCTCTCTTGTAAGTCCATTAGGCTTTGCTCTGCAGTTTGTAGACTCTCTAAGTCTTTCATCATTTTTGCGACATGTTCTTTTGATGTCTTATTCTGTGTGTAAGCAAACCAGCACCCTCCAACACCAATTACTATAGAAACTGTGAGAATAAAATCCTTCATCCAGTTATGAGGCGGGCCTACGAAGAAAATTACAGATGATTAAATTAATCTTTGATAACAGAATCTCAATACATAGAAGCATTTTTTTTTAAAGTAGTAGGTATCTAAAAACAAACAAATGTGAAAATGTCCCTCCCATAAACAAGCTCTAGCCTTTTAAAAATTCTTTCTTCAACTAATCAAAGTGCTTATGACAGTCTGATACACTAGAACTACCAGAGGGCACAGATAAACCCACATGCATGTACCCCACCCCTGCTGGTATAGGAAATAGTAACAAAAGTCCTGGGGAGCTGTGAAAAAGCCAACAGCACCTCCAGTCACGTTCTCTGTGGGGTAAAAGGAGGCATAAAGGAGAGTACCACTACTATCACCCCAACTGCTTTCCTTCAGTCTAGTTAGGGAGCTTTCAGGCTTTGATACATACAGTGGAAGCCTAATCGTTCACCAGAAGAACATTTTCCCCAAGCAAGTAGTCATGTAACTAAGATTAGTCAATGATTCTCAACTGCGGGTGATATCCCCCCCACAGTGGACATTTGACAATTTTTGCTTGTCACAGTTGGGAAGGTGTAAAGTGGATGGGGAAGTTGTTACTGGTGTCTAGTGGGGAGAGGCTAGGGATGTTCCTAAATATCCAATAACACACAAGACAATCACTTTCCAGCCCTGCTTCTGCCAGTAACAGAGAATTATCCAGCCCAAAACATGAAGTGCCAAGGTTGAGAAAGCCGGAGTTACAGGATCATAACAAGTCATGCTTTAGGTGGCTATTTGCCAGAGAAATCTGGGCTACTAGAAGGAAAGAACAGATCACCTTCTTTACCACCAGGCAGGTCAGTAATTTCCAGCACTGTTTCTAAAGTAAGGAGTAAGGAGCCAGGGCCCACTGTCTTCAGTGATACAAAACACAGAAATCACTAGTTAAATAATTTCCTAGTTTATCCCTGACTCTTCATACACACTAATTTTCAGAGGGCTCTCTGGAAGGATACACAAAGATAACTAATACAATATAATGTATTCGTTGCTCCAAAGAGACATAGTTTACAGTGGAAAACGACCTAACCGCCCAGGCCTCCAGCAGGAAGATATATTGCATGTGTGATGAAATAAGGAGCTCTACAGACAGGACAAGTTCCTGCGCTTCCTCGGGTTCGTGTATGTTTACACAGTGTGATGAACAGCATGCTCCAGGCCAGAGACCCTCGGGGCTGCATATTTCCAGAGCGCACACCTACAGTGAAACAGATGCATTGCAGAATGCTAAAGTCTCAAAAGGATTTATTTTTATTTCTGCCTCAGACTGAGAAGTTCAGCTCGAGTTCTAGTTCAAATATGAGCCCTGTTCAGGCAAAACAGAATCACCAGAAATGACAATAAATAGGCGGACAAGTCCCAAACTCTAAAATAATTACCACAAACTGAAAAAGATTTCAGTGAAAACTCCTTTAAAATATATCTCTGTTCATTTTATAATGTTAGTTTGTTATAAATCTAAAGCCCGTATTCCAACTGCAGGGCTCATTCACTCAAATAACAATTCTAAGACAAACACATTAAAAACGTAATGCATCATTAACTTCTTCACTGGTTTATTAAAACATTTGTTTTCAACATTCTTTGAGACTAGTTTGGTTTCTTTTCAAATGATAATAAAATACTGTTTTGGCTTAGAGGGTGATTTGTTCCCAGATTAATAAAATATAAATATCCCTGACCAAGTTGTACAGAGAGGCAAGTTTTAGAGCTTAATTCCTATTTTCACCAATCATCCCCATGAAAAAATCAGAATCTCACGGAAGACAACCCCCAAGAGATTCAGTAGGAAACTCAGGGTGTCATCTGTGTGGAATGCCCGGCATGTCAGGAGGGTTCTGCTTCCTAGGGTTTGTAATTTCCAACAGCAGTGCATTTCCACCACCTCTCACAAAGCGGAGTGTTCCAGCTGTTTCACCAGCTGCTCTCAAGCCTGAGCCAAAAAGAACCACCAGTACAGCCATGGAATCTATCCAACAGCTCCAGGACCCTTTTCTCAGCAGGGCCACCCCCAAAACCATAGCACAGAAACCTGCAAGTCTCCTAACTCCAAAAATTGAGGTAAAATAAACATCTGTTTCCTAATTTATCATCTGTGGAAGCCATCTTTCTTGTATTAATTTTGCTACTCCTTTTTGGCTTCTGAAAAAGTAGGACATAATTCCTCTAAAATGTGTACTCTTCAAACATTTTCCCCCAAAGCTTTTTAGAATTTGAAATTAAATATATTAAACTTCCTTTCTGAAAGAAGTATTCCTGTCAAAAGTAAAGAAATACAAGGCTTATTTTCCTTACAAATATGACATAATAATTTCTTAAATGTTCTTCAACACAACCAAATTAACATTCTCCACCTTGTGCTTCTGCCAGGATAGTCTGTTACCATGTAAAATTTCAAGTGGATCTCTGCTTTTGATCTCTATCTAGAAAATCCTTTTCATGGTAATAAACGAAATCAAGTTAGGATGTATTACATACTCTGTGCCATGGAGATGGTTACACTGTACCATTTCTGAAAGGGATCCTTCAGTGAATATCCAGCTATAATGGTATCAACATTAAAACTGTTACAAAGATCTAAAGTTCCAAATCTAGAAATTTAATTCTAAATTATCAACAAACATAGTTTTTACAACTTTTTACATCAGTAACCAGCTTGGAAATTTCACACTCCACATTTCAATGACAGAAAATCTCACCCTATAAATCTTTTTAAGATACATGACATTTCCTTTATAGCTAATAAATGATTTTCTTAATGTTCTTTCTTTCTCCTTTTTTAAATTACAAATACATGATCTGATTATTCTTTTGCATCAGATTCTGAGAGAGAATACTAACGTGTCAGAGGTCCAAACAAAACCACATCCAGTGCCTTGAGCTGAAGTTTTTGCCTGTGACTCCGATCGCTGATTTTCAACTGGGAGCTCATAAATGAAGGTTCATGCACTGCTATCCTGTTTATTTAAAAAAATACATACACATTAAATGAAAATATTTCTAGTATGTAAACGTAAATATTTTAACAACACATTTAATACTCTGCATATTAGTGATGACTGCTGTAGCTCATCCATGTGATTTAATACTTTATTAACATGTATCAAAAACCTTCCAGTGCAAACTCAGCCGTACAAACACCCCTGTATGCCAATTATTTATTTGTTATGTTGATGTTTTTGTTTTCTAAGGTACCTTACGCTATAATTTACTAGGATGTAGAAATTTATCAAATGCAAAAGTATTTTACAACCATTAATTAATTACCTCTGGCATTTTACTATCATTTCACAGAGAAAAAGAATACTGTAAATGATTTTACTTAACATCAATAGCAGACTTTAAAATATAGTTCTCAATTTAGATATTACTTTTCTTTAAAAGTATCTAAAAAACCTATACTTTTACATTCTAATATGTAAATTGTTTAAAAATTAAACAAAGTCCATTGAAGTCATAACTGAGAGTAAGAAGTCCTCATAGCTGGGGGGAGAAAAAGGAGGGATTTATGTAATAAAAAGTACTGAACCATTTCACCAGCAATGAAAAAACCACATAAGGGGCCAAAAGGCACACTTTGTTTTGAAATTCAAATCCAAGTAGCCCAGTCATCAACTAAGATTTCTTAACAACCGAACATGATGCCAATAAAAATCTTTTAACACAAAGTCTAATAATAATAAAATTGTTAATAACAATGACAATAAAAACAAGCATGTACTATATGCTGGGTCCTGGATCAAGGGCTTAGTCAAAATTCAAGAAAACCTCTAGTATATATAGAATTCCCATTTTATAAATGAGGAAACTAAGGTAGGGAGAGATTGAGTAACTTGCCCAAGGCTGCATAATTAGTAAGAGGTAGGGCAGGGATTCAAATCCAAGTATGTGTGATTCCAACAACTGTACTCTGATCCACTACATTTTATTTTGGAAGGTATCAAAACCTCTAAGTATGAAGAAATTACAAAGCCTCCTATAACTGCTATGGGCTCCTATAAAACTTCAGGGAGTAAAGAACTCTTAACTTTCCCTTTACAAAATGCCTTCCTTCATCTCTGCTGGTCCCTTCTGTGTATGCTCCTGTTACACCTTTAATGTGACAGTGAACAAACTGCTTGAAGGCAAAGCTATGTCTTGTCTCGGTATCCCCACACCTAGCATTATGCTTGGCAAAAGTAGATGCTTGATAAATGTCTGTGTAATACATGACTGAATGCATGGATGGATGCATGAATGAATTAACAGCAACGATATCGACAGACTAAATTTAAGAAAGACAATGAGATGTAGTAAAAAGGATACCAGATAACGGTTTTATACAAAGTTCAGTATGAACCCAGAGGTGAAAGTGGGTGAGGATGTCAGGGAGGTTCACCCAGGTCTGAAAGCAATGAGGAGGATGTGTCAGGTGAAGAGATCCTTAATATAAGCTCTGCTAATATGAAGCTCAAAGTATAGAAAATCAGTAAAAAGCTTAGGATGACCACAACTAACAAAAAACTAACATAATTTTCACTACCTATTGCAGATATGACAATATTTTAATGTCACAGAAAGGAAACATAATGAATTGTTGTAGGCACGTGTACATCTGTAATGTGTAATACATTTTCTTATATATTCTTATCAATAGCTCTTGTATCTACAGTTACCCTACAAAAAGTTCTATAACTCACATCATTAAGTTAATGGATACTGCTCCTTTAAGTGGACTCATCTAAGTGCCATTACCATATAAAAGGGGCTTGATGAAGTTTTCCTTTCTCCTCCACTCCAAAAGGCTCTAATGGGCTTACCTGGAAGCTGAACTTCTGTATTTGTAACTTGTCTTTCCTAGTAACATGTTCACTACTTAAAAAATTGATCTTGACCATGATGTTATTTCAACGATTCTCTTAGAATTTGAGTTATCGCTGATAACCTTTACTTAACCAAAAGAAAAAAGTGGCTATAATACTTATTGCCAAAACACCAATCAACCTATTTTACTTCGTGTTGTTGTCATACAAAAAAACTTCCCACAAGACAATGTAAGAAAAATACTGAGTTCCTCATAACCAGGGTAACATAGAACTCAAAATAAAAACCCCTAATATCCTGGGGCGCCTGGGTGGCTCAGTTGGTTAAGCGACTGCCTTCGGCTCAGGTCATGATCCTGGAGTCCCTGCTCGGCAGGGAGTCTGCTTCTCCCTCTGACCCTCCCCCCTCTCATGTGCTCTCTCTCATTCTCTCTCTCTCAAATAAAGAAATAAAATCTTTAAAAATAAATAAATAAATAAACAAACAAACAAAAACCCTAATATCCTATTTTTAATGCTCTACTATCCTGTTTGAACTTAGAAATTTGTCTTATTTAAAACCAAAAACTGGGGGTGCTGTGTGGCTCAGCTGGTTAAGTGTCTGACTCTTGGTTTCAGCTCAGGTCATGGTGTCAGGCTTGGGGGATGGAGCCCCGCGTGGGGCTCTGTGCTGAGCGTGGAGCCTGCTTAAGATTCTCTCTCTGCCCCTCTCCTCACACTCCCCCTTTCTCTCATAAATAAATAAAGAAATAAGCAATAACTGTATCTCATTTTTGTCTTCTTGCCAGCATCTAGTTACACCATGAACAACACAGAAGATACTCAACACACACTCGTTGAACTGACTCTTCCTCCCATCATTTCATCATTATAGTCATGTACACAGTAAATTCGGAAATACTGATGTCAATGCTCAGAGGATATTTACAGGAGGTAGAAAATCACCAACTGGATCCAAAGTCCAAAGCAACAGCAGCTGCTTCCTTGAACACAGTGTAAGCAAACTGATCAGAAATGCGATACGCACATTTGATCGCATGTAACAGTAAGGCGGTTAACAAGGGATTAGTCTTTTTTGATTCAAGAAACAAATTTGAGAAGAATAAAAAATAAGCAACCTTATTCTGGGCCAGGTTCTGGTAGAACCATTGCAAATTTTAACATTTAACGGGGCGCCTGGGTGGCTCAGTGGGTTGAGCATCTGCCTTCAGCGCAGGTCGTGATCTCGGGGTCCTGGGACGGAGCCCCGAGCCCCTTGTGCCACCTGCTCAGCGGGAAGTCTGCTTCTCCATCTCTGTCTGCTCCCCCCGCACCCACCCCACTCCTTCTCTGTCTCACAAATAAATAAAATCTTACAAAAAAAAAAAATCTTTAAAAACTATTAAAGTTAACTAATGGAGATTTAGAAAATAAAATTTAGAAAACTAGTAACAAATAATTCCAGACATTTAAGGGATAAACTGGCATTCTAGACTTATTGGTATAAGATCTATCTGGGTTCAAATGCTGAATTGGGCAAAATATTTAACTTCTCTATGATTGTTTTTTATCTGTAAAATGGTGATAATACATACTTAACTTTAACCATGAAGCTTAAATGAGATAATATAGAGTTCCTCTATGTAATATACATTTTAAAATGGTTGTTATTATTTACATTTTGTTTATTAAACTTTTTTTTTTTTTTGAGGTTTAACTTATGACCACTAATACAGAGTGGTTATTGTTGTTAAAAAATACAATTAAGAAGGATCTGTACATTAACCCATTCAAATAGGTTTTTCATTAAGGTGGATTCATATCAAATGAGTATGTTTTTGTCACATTTACCACATGCTCAGAGGTTGGCCCTTTGATGTTATCTAAAAAAGATGTAGTTGGCCTATCTTCTAATTCCCAAAATTACCTTCTTTGGGAATAAATTTTAAAAAGAGCTTGATTATGTAGACAAGAAAAATTGATTAAAACTTGCAAATTCACACCTTAAAAAATTAAAAAATAGATATATTTATAACATTTCCTTTGAGCCCCCAGCCACAGAGTTAACTTATAAATTTGGCACTGAAAATAACATCTAGTATGTGATTCTCCCTGAGTGAAAAAAAATACATTTGGATAATAAATACTCACCTGGGAAGCGTTGTTCCTTTGACATTATTGTCTCTAAAATTCTTCTCATATTGGGGTAGTTCAACAAATTCTATCAACCACTGAAGCGTGTCCTCAAGGGTCCAATTATGAACTACAAGAGATAAAAGGGGAAGGCATATTTTAAACACCTCTGCTTTCCAAATTTATATAATTTACATATATATTTATATGTATATACATTCACACATATATAAAATTACTATAATTTCAGCGGATGTTAATTGAATTTTCAATTCAATTCAATTGACAATAAGTACTAAAATGATATTTGGCATTCTATCAGAAGCTGAAAACAATGGAGACATACCTCCTACACTTAAGAGCTTATAATCTATGACAGAGAAATCATGAAAGAAAAAGAAAAAAATATTAGCATGGTTAATTCTAAAATAAGCATCTACGTAAAATTCATTCAGGATGAAATAATTCATAATTTCTCTGGTTGCAGAAACACTTACAGGACATGTATCTAATCATTCATTCTTTCATTTCGTCATCTAGCCATATAATCCTGTAAACCTTCTGAGTATCAGGTTCCATACTAAGCACTGGGAATATGGTAGTAAACAAGATGCATAAAGCCCTTGCCCTCATGGGAGAGGGGAGGGGGCAATTCACAAGACAAGAAAGGAAAGTGGGGGAAATTTCAGACAGTGATCAACTATTAAGAAAGAAATTAGAAAGATGTCAGGATAGCTTCTGAGGAGCTATTACCTGAATTGAGAACCAAAACTTGCAAGGAGCCAACATTGTGATGATCTGGGAGAAAAAATATCCCAAACAGAAGGAAAAACTAGTGTAAAGGCCTTACAATTGGAATGAACTAGCTGTGTTTGGGGGAGAGGGGGGTTAATAATCAAAGTGTTTAAATCTATGTTTACTCCTCAATGTGGAGAATGGATTGCAGGAGACAAGAAGGAAAACAAAGAGCAACAAGGAGGCCATTCCTTTATATAGCTGTCCAAATGAGAGGTTATTGCCTTGGACTATGGTGTTAGCAGAGGATATGGTGACAAGTGGTCAGATTTAGGATATATTCTGGGGATAATGCTGTTAGATGTGCTCATGAAATGGATGAAGGTTGGTAGCTACAGGAAAGTAAAAAAAGAAAAAAAAAAAGTACAGAGGGTGTTACCATTAACTATGATAGGAAAGACTGGGGAGGAACAGACTAGGGAGGCAAGTAGATGAGTGTGTGACAGAGATGGAAAGTTGTTTTTAGACATGTTATATTTGAAGTATGTATTAGATATTTAAGTGTAGATATATAGTAGCAGTCAGTTATACAAGTCTGGAGGCTTCAGGAAGAGTGAGGTTAGAAACAAAGATATAAAAATTGAGAGTCATCAGCATTTGGATGGTCTTTACACTAAATGAGATCACCCAGGACAGTGGATTCTGGAAGACTGGCCCTAATCATGAAGAAAATGACCAGTCATAGCATCTCTTCTCTTGGACACTTATTTTGAGTTAAGCTCGTTATATTCATCTTTTCCTTTAGGCCTTATTTAAAAACGAACAAACAAACCTCATGAAGCACTAACATGATTATCTCCATTTTTGGAGATGAGAAACTAAAAAGTTAAGGGGACCAAGATAGTCAGTAGCAGGACTGGAGAGGAACCCAGGCCAACCGACTGTAGGACCTGACTATGCTACTCTGAGAGCACTAATATTAAATAGCAGTAGAGAAATAAACAAACAGTTAAAGACTGGGAGCGACTCAGACATTCCTGCTTGAAGAATACAAAGGACAATGACAAGATTATCCAAAGGGAAGGATGCAAGTGTCCTTAAAAAATTAAGAGCTCCATACTGTCTGCATTTAATTTGAGGGTCTGGGAACACAAAGTGCTTATAGGCCACAGAAAGGTCAAAGGAGAATGAAGAAAACAAGTGAGCAATAAAAGCAGACCTAAGAACCCATCTGTGTATATATAAATCTGAGAAACATCTTTCTGATAAACTACAGAAAATTCTGAGTTCACTTTTGCAAGCAAAGCTAATTTTTCACAATCTGCCTTTTTCACTATGTGCTCGTTAGAGAAAAAGCTTAAATCACAAACGAAAAATTAACTAGCAAAAATTCATTTAAAAATTACACATTAGGTAATTGATAATTTTCTACTGAGACAAAGCTTTGACTATTTTAAAAATCTTCTCTCCTTCATGTGTTTCTGCCATAAGCTTGGACATGTGCCTGAGGCTGCTGTATCCATTTAGCCAAATAACTTAGAATACCAGCCAAAGGTTCAGGCCCTCGGTGCTTTCCACTGAATTTAATATATTCAAAGTAGCCTTTTTTCTCTTAAGTTTCTTCCCATTCAGCATGAACTGCACTGAGAACTGCTTGTCTTGATTGCCAAGAAACCAACAGTGCAGCTGCACCTCACACACCCACACAAAAATCTCAGCCAAGAAAACAGGATAAGATTCTCTCTGTCATTTCTATGGCTGTTCAACTGATCCACAACAAAAGTCCCTGATCTCAACACTCCAGCACATCAAAATAGTCCCTCAACTCCCAATGAGCCAGGAGAGAAAGGAAGAAAAATCAAGTGAAAAAAATACATATTTAAAGTGCCCCAATAGAGTATTACAGTGGTTCTAAAGTAATTTTCTTTACAATGACTCTTTAGAACAACAAAATTTTAACTAAGAGCACACAGTTTACTTTGGAAGGAGGTTCACTTCTTCCTGTGCCTTTTGGTTTCTTTGGTGATGCCTAGTAAATACCTCTACTTCTCATGACCAAGATTTGTATTTTATATTTGCTTTCTCTGCTCCAAATATACTAGTTGTCTTTCATTTCTTAGGAGAGATCATACTGTGTCCTTCCTCAGGGCCTTTGCACATGCTGTTTCCTCAGTATGAGATTCTTTTCTTTGTCTATTTACTTTACTGAGACTCCCTTTCTCAGTTAAAACTTTAATTCCTCAAGGGAGGCTTCCCAAACATCGCTAATGGTCATAAATCACTCTGTACTTCTTAGGCGTAGGATTTAACTAATTATAATTATTTATTTGTATGATTATTATTTCAACATCTGTTTACTTCACTAATGCACATGCTTCCTGCTTCTATTCCTAGCATTTGGTACACAAAAGACGCTCAACAAACTATCTGTTGGATCCTCTTGAATAAATGAAGTAGAACATGTTTAATTGGCAGGTATTATGAAAATCTATTCCCACACTTTAGTGAGGAGACCCAAATAAACAGAAATAGGAATTCATCCATATAAGAAATCTTTGATGGCAAAGGAATCACTCCTTTAAGAATTACCTGGATCCTCATCACCTGCCTCTCATGGCTCTTTCACATGTGGTGTTGCTAAATAGCACTTCCACCAGAGGGCAGCCAGAGAAGGATATTGCATTTCTTCAAAACCTAGATTTCCCATCTGCAAATCTATAGAAATGCCGATTTCTGTACTGCTAACTTATATTCTTTCTGCTAGAAACTCTCTCTGAGTGATTTTTGACATTTATTCCAAGGCCAGTAGAAAGAACTCTGGAATAGAAAGAGACCTGATCCTTGTCTCAGCTGTGTCACAGATTCACTAGGACATGACAGCCAGGTGATTAACTGTGACTCAGTTTCTTAACACAGAAAACTGATCTAGACCATCTTTAAAAATTCATCAAATTCCAATTCCATTATAACAAACAAAAGTTGGTGTTTAAAATACTGCTAAACAGCTAGCCTAGAAAGTAGATTATAAAATACTGATGGGGGAAAAGTAACTCTAAAAACTTTCAAGACAGAAACAAAAACTGCTGCTAATGTTTATAGTGTGTGTATTAAACACCAAGAGATTTGCAAACATTATTTCAAATACTCATCGCAACAACCCCTTGAAGTAGGTACCTTGATCATCATACTGAACTTAAAAGTCTATGAAGTTGAAGTTCTTAATTAGACATAACAGATTAGCAAAAGATCAAACCAGGTTTCAGACCAAGTTTATTTCTAGAGTTGTTAACCACTGTGCAATAAATTGCCTTTTTAGAGTTAGGTAAGTGCTCTCAGTAATCAAACTAAGCAATACAAGTAGAGAGTTTAAGCTCCAGTCATACCTCCAGCCGTATCTGCAGCTTTCTGAATGTACCATATTCCCCCATGCCACTCCTTCAACCTGGAATGGCTTTCCCTTCTTCTTCCTTCTCTGCCGGGCATATTTCTTCCTTGGCCTTTAAGACTCAGATCAGGAAGTCTCTTGTCCATGAAGTCTCCCCTATCCGTCCATTTTCAGATTATAGTTGCTCTCCTCTGTGCCCCCAATCACATGTACATATATCTGCCACAGACGTATCACATACTCTCATGGAATTGCCCATGACTGCCTTACCCCCTGGGTGAGGAGCTCCTAGAAGGCAAGAACTTTTTTTTTTCTTCCCCACCTAACACAGTGGACCGTTAACACCAAAAAGCCACATTCCTTTGATACAGGATTTTACATTTTATTACACCCTTTAACTTATATTCTCATTAAACCCCCCATAACCACATTTGAGAGACAGCTGTTCTCTCTACAGTCTATACAGAGAACCTTGGCCAAAAGAGGCCAAGTAATCACACAAGTGGTCACACATACCTATGAACCGGAAGAGCGAGAATTTGAACTCTCATTTTCAGAATCCAAGTTCACTGCCAATATAGGGGTCTCCTCATTCAGAATAACTCACTGTTTAAAACTTAAAACACATTTTCTCTTAGAAACAAACCTTCTAGACACATAGTACTAATAGTACTACAAGAGTTATACCTTACATATGAGCAATCTGCTATAGGTAACTGCATTAATGGATTTGGGATTCCACTACAGACATCAGGGACACTTTGTGACCCCCTGAGGGCCTGGAAGTAGTAACACAATAGCTCAACGGAGCTATGCCAGTTCTTCATCATGGGTGACTCCTGGAACTTAAAGCCTAAATGATAAGATTTCTAAGAGCCAGGGGACTCAGAGCTGGGGCAGGGCTCTGGCACAAAGGAGGTGGTGGGGAACAGGGAAGAGCGGGGACAGGATGGTGAGTAGAATCAAATCTTCAGGAGATGAGTGGGTGTGGAGATGTAGGATGTGTGGGG